AGAGAGAGAGAGAGAGAGAGAGAGAGAGAGAGAGAGAGAGAGAGAGAGAAAAGACAAAGGTGGCTTTTTTTTCTGGAGTTGTGACATTTTTAACAGTTGGTTCTGATCCATGTGTTTGTTGGCTCTGATATGAGTTGTCTTCAGTAGTCAGGCCAGAGCATGGGGGAGAGCACATGCTACATGCCTGCTGGTTAAACACTGGGAGAGATCAATCAATTCTGGAGTCAGGTAGGGTACAAGTCCTAGCTTTCTCCCACAAGATGAAGAACACAAGCAAACGGGCTAACCTCTGGGTAGTAGTTCACTCATCGGTAACTGTACCGTTGACAGCTACTTCATGAGACTGTCTTGAGTATGAAGTAAGTAAATGGAGTTAAGCAGCCTCCCACATACATGCTTGGTACAGAGGTACTCCGCATTTCTGATTCATTTCATAGGTTGGAAATCAAAACATCAAACTCGAACATAACTGTGGAGAAATGGATCGCTTCTAAAGAACTGTTTTATTTCCTGAGCAAGGTAAAAGTCATTTCAACAGACCCTAAATTAAGATAGTAGTAAGGTAACATTGTTGACTTGATTTTTATGATTTGCTTGATTATAGAACTCTTAGGCCCACATCTCTCTTCAAAACAGAAATATTCAGAAGGCTTATTCTACCATTTAAAATAAGTCTGGAAGAGACGGCTCAGTGGTTAAGAGCTCTTGCTGCCCTGGCTGAGCACAGTGAGGCTGCCCTCTTCTGGCCTGCTCTGGCATTGTCCTCGTGCACACAAATCCCCACACAGGCATGAACATATACACATAATTTAAAAAATAGGAGTATTTTAAAATATCTACTGAGTAAGGAGCTCCAGGTAAAGCGCAGGCACCATGGCAATCCACACATATGTCTCCACATGTGCATACTTCTAGACGTTTCCAAAACCAGTTCATCCAAATGATTCCAACCTGTTCAACTACCCTCCACTGTGGCTTAGTGTCCTATACCTCATGCCTTAAACACAGATGTTTGGGTTCTGTTGTTTTCACAGCGGCTTCTTCTAGGACTGGGACTAACAAGAAATAGGAGGAACCAAAAGCGATTGTTCTGAGGCGAATAAGTAGAGTCTATGAAGCAGCTGGCCCTGGAGACCGGGGAATACCCCCCTTGATCGGCTTTCCATTCCAGGTGTTTTCAGTAGTTATGAATACCATGTGCGCACACACAATGTGTGGAGAGTACATGCTCACATGTGGAGATCAGACAGCCACACTGGAGAGCCGGTTCTCCCGTCTACCTTTACATGGGTTAGAGATATCAAACTCAAATCTGCAGGCTTGGGCAGCAGGCGCCTTTACCCAACTGAGCCACTTCACCAGCCCCTCATTCTAAACAATTTTTAGTTAGAATAATCTTTGTGACATCAAAGCAAAAACTGTGCAGGTTTTCAAACTGGAAGACGGCTATCTGTGTTCGCTACAGGGCCCTGAGATGGCCCTCGTCCTGCCTTGGGGGGAGAAGGCTACTGAAAGGGAGGACTGTCCGGTGGAGATGGATGTCGTTGTCATGGCTGCCCAGATGCACAGACAGTTTTTCCCACAAGCCAAATAACAACAGCGGAGTCGACAGACAAATCAAAAGGACATTTCCTCAGCTGCAGAGCTTCGGCTCTGGTTAAAAGTTAAAATCAAACCCATTCTCTAATGATCGTTAGGGATTCTGGGAATTCCATAACTGCTCTGGACTCTGAGCACCTTTTCTCCCGCTGGGCTGGAGTGAAGTAGCCTTACTGAGTATAAGCATCTTCTCTACCCAGACTATCGGGGGAGGGGAAGCCATGTGAGCACAGCCACGGGCCTGAGAAGAACTCACAAGCGAGATGCCTGGGCTCTTCAAGTCATCCTCAGCTGTGGGCAGGCTGCCCTTGCATACCAGCTGAGTCTTGTGAATAAAATGACTTGGAAGACGCCATCTTAACATGGGACAGCTCTCTGATGGGACAGCCCACGGTCCACCCCAAAGATTAGAACCGAGTCTACCTTGTTCTCCAGTGAACCAAACACGCTCCTCATCTTTTTTTTTAAGACAATTAGTCTTTTTTTTAAATATTTATTTATTATGTATACAGTATCTGTCTGTGTGTATGCCTGCACACCAGAAGAGGGCACCAGATCTCACTACAGATGGCTGTGAGCCACCATGTGGTTGCTGGGAATTGAACTCAGGACCTTTGGAAGAGCAGGCAGTGCTCTTAACCGCTGAGCCATCTCTCCAGCCCCCACGCCCCTCATTTTGTTGATTATTTTCATGAAGCTGATCTAGGGAAGTTGCGATCCGTCCATCCTGCTGCTGGGGGCAGGCTCCCGCTGGAGGCAGGTTCAGGGGAGACATGAACTTCAAAGCCTTGGGTTCCATAGAGAACATCTCAGGCTTACATATGGGAAAAAAAATCCGAATTCTTCCTACTTCATGCTCTTAAGTTCCATTTCTCATTTTCCTTCCTTCCTTTTTTCCTTCCTTCTTTTCTCAATTCCTTAACTCTTCATAAGATGTTTCTAGTAGATGTCTTCCTTTTTTTCATCAAACATCTCTTGGGCCTCAAACTAAATTTTCAGGAATTCCAACGTGTGTTTACACAGCCTTCCCATTTCTCCCCAACATATTACCAAGGTCAGGAGCTACTGTGAGACAGACTTAAGGGGCTTTGCTGTGTCTTAGGTACTTTGTGAACTCATAAATGTCAAGATTTGGGAAGCTTCCGCCTGTCATGAGAAATTCCTAAAATCCCTGATGAATATGAGCAAGACCCCAAATGTTTTGGGGTCCGACATGGTGTCAAAGATGGCAAGGTAATTGTTTTGGTTTTGCCTTTAACCAGTTGCCAAAGAAGCCTGTTTGTTCTGTTTCGTTTTTCCGTCAACCTCCATCTTCCAGTTCTAGGTCTCTTTATTGAGCTTCAAAGATGCTGTTCTTAGCCAGTCACCGTGGCTCACATCTTTAAGCCCAATATGCAGAGGCAGGCATATCTCTGAGTTCAAGGCCATCCTGGTCTACAAAGTGAGTTCCAGGACAATTAGGGCTACACAGAGAAACTCTGTCTTGAAAAAGAAAAGAAAAAGATGCTGTGTTTAAAACACTAACTAAGCCAGGCGATGGTGGCACATGCCTTTAATCCCAGCACTTGGGAGGCAGAGGCAGGCAGATCTCTGTGAGTTCGAGGCCAGCCTGGTCTACAAGAGCTAGTTCCAGGACAGGCTCCAAAGCTACGGAGAAACCCTGTCTTGAAAAACAAACAAACAAACAAAAAAAGAATGTAGCCCACAATCTTCAATTGGTATGTTCATTTCCTTGTATCATGTTAACGCAGTTTTTTTTTTTTTATCTTACTCCTACCTTTTGGGGTCAGGAGTATTTTAAGCAGTTGGAAATTAAACAAGGGTGATTTCAGTGTTCACTGGAACTCTCTCCCTGTACTATTCTATGTTTTCTGTTTTATTATTTTCACATCTTCATACTCTTTACTTCTATTTCTGATCCCACACCCCTACCCTGGCAAGTGGTATCTTCGTGGAGGCTGGAGCCCGACAGCCGTGCCTTCTTCCCGAGCACTTCTCCCTTAGCCTTGACCTTAAAATCTGTATTCTGATCTCTTTCACTGAACTTCAGCTCCGCTCCACACTGGCTTTTCCTGAAATTCTTTTCCAACATGCGACCCAGGATCCAGTTTTGCCTGAAGAACTTTTCAGGTGTCTGAGGGAGATGGTGGAAGCTGTGTCTCTGACCCTCTGCCACTGACACTTCCATTCCAGAGGAGAATGGGCAATTTTAAAAAATGAGAACGAAAGGCTGGAGAGATGGCTCAGAAATTAAGGGCACTAACTGTTCTTCTAGAGGTCCTGAGTTCAATTCCCAGCAACCACATGGTGGCTCACAACCATCTGTAATGAGATCAGGTGTCTTCTTCTGGTGTGCAGGGATATATGCAGGCAGAATTATGTACACATAATTAATAAATAAAACTTTCTAAAAAATGAGAACGGACCTAGCTCTTATTACTTCAACATGCCCTTTAACATCCATATTTCTGTCTGTATTATAGTATATTAATGATAATTGTAGGCCAAGACCACATTACAGAGGTTTTCTTTTCTGCTCCTCGTCTTTAGTTTCTCCTTGTTTGCTTTGGTTTTGAGACAGAACCTCAGGTCTGCTGCCTGCACTCACGTGACCCAGGCTGACCTTGAACTTGGTCCTCCAACCTTTGCCTTCCCCAGCTTTCTAAGTGCTTTTTTAAGGCATTTAAAAGTCGGCGCCACTATCTGCCATATCCAGCATGATTTTTTTTTCATACTTAGCATTTTAAGAAACACTTTGGAGTCTCTTTTGATGAGAACAAACAGTGAAGACCTTTCTTTTTCCCAACACTATCTCCCACCAGGCTGACTGCACCAGACCCTTCATCTTAAGGCAGACCATCACTCACCGGCCCAGCTACTATTTACTGACTACGTATCACATGCCAAGCACTGTGGTTTATGCTGAGAGTCCCAAGAGCAACGCATATAAAGTCCTTACTTTACACTTCACACTCTGGATTAGGAGACAGGAATGAAGACTGATACAGGGTCTCACCATACAACCCTGGCTAGCCTGTAACTCGTTCTGCTTAACAAGCTGGCCTCGAACTTACAGCGATCTGCCTGCCTCTGTCTTGGAGGCTTAAAGGCTTGTGCCACCATATCCTGTCCTGGAATTTTTTTCTTTCTTTTTCTTCTTCCTTTTTCTTTTCTTTTTCTTTTACTTTTTTCTTTTCTTTTCTTTTCTTTTCTTTTCTCTTTTGGAGACTGTTTCTCTGTGTACCTGGCTGTCCTGGAACTCAGTAGGTCAGGCTGGCCTCAGACTCAGAGATCTGCCTGCACCACAACTGTCTGGCTTAAATTTTTTTTTTAAAAAAAAAATCAAGTTAATATAATAACATTTGCAAGGGATAGAATCTACGAAAAATGGAGAAAATTATTGAAACTTCACATGTTCCTACAGTTCTATTGCCCCTTCTAATGCAGCTTGTATTATGTTATAGTTACCCACCCTCCCAGCCCGCTGTCCTCTTTCTTGGCCCCTCCTTCTTTTGGTTAAAAGTTGCTTGGAATTAACAGACTTGGGAAGTGTTCTTTTAAAACAAAGATGAGGTCACCAAGGCCCAGCAGAGACCGTGCAGAACAAACGCTGTTTCCAGGCTCCAAGCACTCCAGTGTGAGCAGATGCACTTGGACCTGTGACACTGAGATAATGAGGCCATTCCCTCTGCAGCTAAATTTAGCCGTCATCAAGGGAGTGACCCACATATCTATAATAGACTTCAGATCATACCTAGCTCTAAAGAGGCATGGATACTCGTGCAAAGGCATAGGCAGGCCAGAGGAGAGCACAGGTGAGCTTGGAAAGCATCCAGAGGCCCTTGGACCACTGAGCAACCCCTCAGCATCACGGAGACCTACCCCCGCCCCAGACTCTATTCAGGCTGGCGACCCTGCCGGAAGTAGTCTTTCTTAATAGTCCATTGTCCAGCGATGGTTTGTCCTTGGGTACTTTGCTCAAGTCTTTTAGTTAACAACCCTGCTGAGCCTTTTCAAAAGCCTGCCTCATAGGAGCCAATCGTCAATGTATTTTCAAGGTTGTGAACATTTAAAACAAACAAACAAGAAAGTTTATTTCATTTGTTTAATTTCCCATCAGGCTAATCAGCAGATTTTGCACATAACTATCCGCCAAATAAGAAATTGAAAGGAAGCTGTTTCTTCCACACCCTCCCATCGCTGATCCAAAAGGAAGTCAGCTAACAACACTTCACTCTCCTGCTGTTGCTCGCTCTAGTTGGCTCCACAGCAATGAACTCTTGCAGGATGCTTCAGGGAGCTAGCTATTGCACTGACCTCACCAGCATTTAAACTCGCTAATCTAAGCAATACTTCCCCTGAACTACCTGCTCCCCTGGACTTCTGTCTTCCTGCTTAAAAAGGGCCTAAAAATCCAACTTAAGGAACTGGTGGGATGGCTCAGTAGGTGGAGGCATTTGCCTCTAAAACCCAACTTGAGTTCTATCCCAGAGACCCACATGGGAGAAGGAGAACTGACTGCCACACACATGCTACACACACATAGACATGCACTAGCCACACATATGCTACACACATACACATGCACACATAGACATACACTAGCCACACATATGCTACACACACATAGACATACACTAGCCACACATATGCTACACACACACACATAGACATACACTAAACACACATATGCTACACACACATAGACATACATAGCCATACATATGCTACACACACATAGACAAACATAGCCACACATATGCTACATACATACACACATAGACATACACTAGCCACACATATACTACATACATGCACACATAGACATACACTAACCACACATGTGCTACACACATACACACATAGACATACACTAATAAGTAAATAAGCAAATGTTTAAAAAAGGAGCCTATTCCCCCCAGGGCTTGCTAAACTTCAGTTCTTTCTCGTGTGTTCCAGATTACAGTGTTAAGTCTAGAGAGAAGCACAAAGCTCAAACTGCCTTTACAAGACAAACTATGGCAGTGTAAACATCCATGATTGCTAAGGACAGAACTTTAATTCAATTCTGGTGGCAAGATAGAAGCCAAATAAATTCTATTTGCAGAATTGGGGAAACCTGCTAGAATGCTTGTCGTGATTGTCTTTGTAAAGAATCTAATTATTGCTTGCCATGGCTTAAAATGAATTTAATTTTTTTCCCCTGTAACCATACTTAAACAAATGTCATGTTCTTAACTCTTAATTCTCTGTTCTCCCGAACGTCACACAAGGTCTCACCATGTAATCTAGGCTAGCTTTGAGACTCATGTCTTAGGGTTCCCAGTGTTAGGGCTTATGGTGTGTGCCACTACCACACCTGGCTAAAAAGGGGCCGCTCTTCCTGTGTACTCTCTGATGACAATACCATTGCCTGGTGTGGTGGCCACAGTGACAGTGGCGCAGGCGAGGAGCAGAGCTGAGGTGGGGTACAGGTGCTGTGATTTTTGTTTGTTTGTTTAAGATTTATGTATTTATTATGTATACAGTATTCTGATGGCCAGAAGAGGGCATCAGATCTCATCACGAATGGTTGTGAGCCACCAATGATTGCTAGGAATTGAACTCAGGACCTCTGGAAGAGCAGCCAGTGCTCTTAACCTCTGAGCCATCTCTCCAGCCCCCAGCTGCTGTGTTTTACAAACAGAATAACTTTTCCTCCATCAACCAGTTCTCTCAAAGGTACATTGTGAGTGGTCTCTGCCCTACCTGTCCCTTGGCCTTGTTAAGAGAACAAGTGTCAGGATACATGTGGCCACACCTAAGTGTTTAGACTCACTGTGTGTGAAGGGCAGTTGAAAGACCTGGATAAATCCAGACCCCTCTAGCAGGAAAAGAAGAGCCAAAAATCTAGCATTAGCCAGTTCAGTGACTCTGTTTCAGGAACTAGCTGAAGATAAAGTTAGATTATAATCTTGAGAATAATCTTGAGAAACAGGGAGTTACCCCCTTGTGATTATCACTGGTATTTTCAGAATTTTTCAATGATCACTAGTGTTTTCGGAATTTTCCAATGATGCCCTCCCTACCCACTTTGGATTACTGGGTTGTGGTTTCTTCCCTTAAATATCCCAACTCGGGGTCGAACTCCTCCTCTGCGTGGGTTATGAGTCTCAGCCCCAGCGCTGGTACCTGTCAATAAACCTCGTGTGATTGCAGCAAGGATGGTCTCTCGTGAGTTACTGGGGGGGTCGTGTTATCCCGAGACTTGAGTGAGAGGCTCCCCACACTGGGGGTCTTTCACAATCACCACTATTGGAATGATAACATTCACAGGAAGGCGCTGGTCGTTACCTGGTAAATCTGGGTGGAAGGGTTATTCACCGGCATGTGTTCATTCTCTCCTGCAGGAAGAAAGAGCTTTGTTCAACCACACAACTCGTGCTGTGCCTTCCTACTATCTCTGGACACAGGGAGGGAACACACACATTCGAGGATCCTCTAACTGTGCCTGAATGACAAGAACCAGAAGATTCTGGATCAAAAAATAAACTAGTGATGCCAGTGATATTCATATTTAAACCTTGATGGCCAAACTATACCTACCTGACAAAATTATCATAGTAGAAAAAAAAACCCTTTCTTGACACAAAAGGAACTCAGAGATTGTCAGTCATTAATTGGTTAGAAGGGGATGACTTGGGGGTGTCTCCTTCATATTTTTAGGGCTGACTGAAGTTTATCTGAGCTGACATCTGCTCTTTGCCAGGGTTGTGCTTGATAGTAATTGTCACCTCTTCACCTAGGAGACAAACCTCTGGGCACACTTGTGAGGGACTGTCTAGATTAGGGCTGGCCTCAGAAAATGTCCTTGAGGGATTGTCTTGGTTAAGTTAATTCACGTGGGAAGACTCGTGTTAATTTGGGGCAGGATCATTCCCTGAGCAGAGTAGAAATCCTGAACTGTGTACAAAGGATAGCACAAGAGACTGGAGGGTTGGCTCGGATGTTAAAAGCCCTTGCAGATCTTACAGAGAACACAGGCAGGTTTGGTTCCCAGTACCCACATGATAGCTCACAGTCATGTGTCCTGGGGGATATGACGTTTTCTCCTGACCTCTGCAGGCACCAAGCATACATGTGGTGCACGTACATATATGCAGGCAAAGCATCATACACATTTAAAAGAACGTTTTCTTAAGAAAATGGAGAGGACAGGTTTTGAGGGCAAGCGTTGTTCTCTGCTCTTATGTGTGGCTGTGATGTGACTGGTTCTCTCAGGCACCTCCTGCTGTGACTTCCCTGCCATGATCAATTGGAAAATGGAGTTATGGGCACTTGCTCAACCATTCTGCTGCTACTCCCATCACACAACGGTCACATTGCAGGAAGCAAATAACTCTCCCGAAACTCCTGCCTGCAAGACTTTGGTGCATGCATGTGTGTGTTGTTTTCCTTAGAGACACTGGTAAGGAGCCAGCCTTCGTATGGTAAAGTCCTAACTAAGGTATCACTCAGCCTAGAGTTTGCACTTGGCAGAGGCTGTCCCTATAAAATTCCAATGGTTTGGGGTTACCAAGCCTCCTTACACAAACTTGAATAGGGACAATTTAGCCCATTTCATACTATGTCCAAACAAAGGGCAAGAGCCAAGACTGAGACACGTGGACCAGGACCTCACTTTGTAGCTGTCCCTTGCCTGCTCTGTGTGGCTGTTTTCTCCATTGGGAACGATAACGGAGTGACTTCTAGATGTTGCTTCTGCTCGGAAACAGAAAAGGGGAATTCACTTGTTCTCCTAGGAGAGCCTAGCAGGTGCTGGGTGTCTATTAGAGAAATGCACCTTGTTTAGTCAAACACGTCTGAGGCAGTACTAAAGTCAACACTGAAGGGGAAAGAGAAGGACTCAAGCCACACGCTACGTCCTTGGCATTTTCCGCATTCCAGCAAGTCTGTGTTTTTCAAGGTCTCCCAGGTGAGGATGGGAAAATGACGTTTGGAAACACTGGCCAGACAGGTTAACTCCTGTATTTCCTGACTCCCGAGCTCCAAAGCAAGATGGAGATCTGACCTTGCTTGGTTTTGGTTTTTTCCATGGTGTCCGTTGCTTCTCTCCTCCAGCGCCCTCTTCAGCGCTGCACCGTCATCGTCCTGGATCAGGCCACCGCCCCTTCCCTGCACCTGCCAATCAAAGAATAAAGGATATCCAGTAGTACTGACAAAGATACTCGACTAGCTTCATGGGTCAGCTTTTAATACCAAACACAGTTTAAAGAGAAGCAATTTCAGGAGAACAAATTACTAAATCGAGTAAATTTCTAACTTAAAGTTAGGGGCTGGAGAGATGACTCAGCAGTTAAAAGCACTGGCTGCTCTTCCAGAGGACCCAGGTTCAATTCCCAGGACCCACATGGCAGCTCGTTAACTGTCTGTAACTCCAGTTTCAGGGACTCCGACATCCTCACACAGACATACATGCAGGCAAAACACCAAGGCACATAAAATAAAAATAAATTATTTTTAAAAAAGAAAAACTTAACTGGGTGTGGTGTGGTGGTACATGCCTTTAATCTCAGTACCCTGTGTAGCCCTGACTGTCCTGGAACTTGCTATGTAGACCAGGTTGGCTTTGAAGTTAGAGATCTGTCTGCCTCTGCCACCCGAGTGCTGGGATTAAAGGTGTGTGCCACTACCACCTGACAATACAGTAGTTTTAAATCTGCTCCATTTTCCTTCAGATCCAACTAATTAATTAAGACCTACTGATTTTATTAGCAAGTTGCTGCTTAGGAAAATGACATTAAGAAGGAGAAGCTAAGCAAGAAAGCCTGTTTCTAGTCACATTTTCAGCATCTGGTGGCTTCCTTAGCACCCAGGAGATGCATAACAAAGCGGGCTGCCGGTTGTGACACTGGGCACGGAAGCTGAAAACTCAGCGGTTCCCCTTCAGTATTTTAACCCTTTCTTGCCTTTGGTGAATCCCTCCACCTTCTGAGCTTTCCACGACAAAGACAGAAGGTGCCAGGTTTGCCTAGCCTCCAACACCTCAGGCTAGAAGGGACATATGACACAGAGTGTAACCACACTTTTTTTGTTTGTTTGTTTTCCTTCATAGACAAGAGCTTCAGACCAGCCTCAAACACTGTGGAGCCAAGGTGACCTTGAAGTTCTGATCCTCTCTCTAGCTTCTACCTCCTGGGATGCTGAATTCCAGGCATGTTCCAGTCTAGCTAGGTTTGTCTGGGGCTTTTTGTTTTATTTTTCTTTTAATTTGTTTGTTTATTTGATTTCTGGTGTTGGGGATTGAGCCCAGGACTTTATGCTTGCTGGGCAAACATTCTACTGACCAAGCTTCAACTTTACCCCCTCCACAAAGTTTTTTAAATTATTGTTAGGTGTAATTCTGCTGCTCTTTGGGGGAGGGGGAAATCTTGAAATATGTAAAGCCAAATTGTTACGGATAATCTACTCCTGAGGATTTAGTTTTCTGACCTGTAACTAATTGGAAACAGGCAAACAAAACTCCATGTCCTAAATGGAAGGAAAATGTGTGTATTTCGGAGCTCTGGAGTCAGAAAGCTCACAGATGCACATCTGTGTGCCCACTGATCTCAAGACATTAAAATAAAAAGTGTCTAATCAGTAGAAGTTAGAAATCACGTTTTCACTAGTTAATTATAAAAGCAAAAGTAAGTATACACACACACAAAACCCAACAAACAAACAAGCAAACAAAAAACAACTTGAAACGGGTAAAGTTGGCCGAGGCTGGGGCTGCAGCCCTGAGAATCTGGTGACCGCAGAGCGCAGCCTGTGGCCTGGTGCAACTGAGGACACGGACAGTCTTTTACTTGACCAAGGGCAGGCTGCTAGAGCGGTATCCTAGGACCCCAGAAGAACAGGTCCCAGCTGCCAAGAAGTAGAATATGTGTGTGGAAGACTACAAGCCGTACCTGGATGATGGCATGGTGCGTGGTGTCTACCCTAATTTCCTTGACTGCTCATAGCAAGAGAGGCATCCATGGTACAAACCGAACCACTTAGACCTGAGGTTGAATTGACGGTTGTGGGGGAGCAGAGGCACTGGGACCTAGCCATGTTTATCAGGAATCGTGTGGACATGTCCCCTACACCAGTTTGCATGGGATATCATATGTTTCAAACAGCTCTTCAGCTTTGTGGCCTTCAGGATTTCCATGTTCTGGGTAGGGGAGATTTTCCCCTCCTACCAGCCTATGGGGCCAAAGCAGTATCTTCATAATAATCTATACCCGGAGCAAGTGGCAATCCTACCAAAATACCTGAGCCGATGGTTCACTATGGCGTCAGAGGAGGCTTCATGGGGCTTTGTGCCCTCTAACTCCGACTCCCTCATTCCCAGAGGTTTAACCTTAATGAAACCCCTAATAAAAACTCAGTGCTTTGGTTAGAAACACACTTGGGGAGCACAGTGGGAACACGTACAAGGCTTCTGCTTAAACAGCTGTCATCATCTCTGCTTACATTGTCTGACAACCTTTTATGTCATTAGCTAGGATTTCTTAGCTGCTATTTCCTCTTACCTTGTAGCATGGCATTTTATCTAATTGCAGTATGGGATTGCTATTATTTATGCCCATTTCCTCCCTAGTCCCTCCTGACTGTCCTCATGAGATCACGTCCAGACGTGTGTGTGTGTGTGTGTGTGTATGTGTGTGTGTGTGTGACAAGGTGGCCACTGAGGACTCACTTTCTACCCCTCCCCCGTACTTACCTTTCTCACTCAGTGGGTCACAGAGATTATCTCTAGACTTACTAGTTCATGTTTAAGAAAGTATCCTTATGGGCTGCTTGCTTGTCCATGATTTGAATGAATTACGTCGATTACTCCTACATTGTTAAGCAGTCCCTCAGCTTCCGTTGTTTTCCACTTCAAACAGCACCCAAGAAAAGCCTCAAGTCACAAAGATTACACGCTGGTGGATTTAAGACTGTGTCTGTCTGTGTGAATGTGAGCCACACGTGTGTCTGTGGGGGCCGAAGGAGGGTGCCAGAGCCTCTGGGGTTGGAGCTATAGGCAGTTGTGAGCTGTCTGGAAGGAGTCGTCTCTTAAGCTCCATTTATTATTTTTATTTTGACTTCGTGATCACTATTGCTATTGAAATGCTTTTTAAAATTAGAGACCCACAGCTCTTTTTTTTTAACTGCTGCTAGTTTCTTGAATTCATTTTTAAGCTCTCTGAAGAACCCGAGATTATATTTTCCCCTCAGAATTTTTCTATTTTTGAAATTGATTGAACCACCTGGAGTTTGGCTTTCCGTGTAGGACAGGCCACCATCCCACTTCCTTATCTTCCAGATATTAGCTTATACTAACTCAGGTTAAGGGAGCCGTGTTATCCCTTCATGGAACTGGAATTTCAATTTTTGTAACATATTAAATTTGCATATACACTGAAAGAAATGAAATTGTGATCTCTTTCTTCTATGTATGTATGTATATGTGTATGTATGTATTTACAAACTCCATTTTAAGGAAGGGGCTTCATCTTAAGCCATATAATGAGTGGGGATTAAATCTCAGCTCCAGAAATGTGCCGCCATAGCAGAATTTAAACAGATACACTGAAAATAGCCAATTTAGGAGCAAGGGAGCAGGGTCATAAAATTTAACGAGGTCCAGATGTTCCTAGGAGGCATCCTGTCCTTGAAGATACCTTGTCAGTTATTAATGGCACTTTGTTAAGGTCTTCACACCCAAAAACTGACCAGAAACTACCTTACCCTATGCCCTCCTTACCCAATCCCAAGATGACAGGACATGAACTCCCCTGATCACGGTGTTTCTTCTTTAAGAGTTCTCCCTTCCCAGGGCTCACCCCACACTTTTCTTACCCACTGCGCTGGGGTGCTGAAAAGGGTGGCCAAAACCTAAGTCTGTATACAGACCCTCATGTAATTTGCATCAGAAACAGGGCTTCATGAATTCGTTTGGAGACTAGTAACTTGGGCATAACAGTATCTGTCTGTCTATCTATCTATCTATCTATCTATTTATCTATCCATCCCTGTTACCAAATGACATGTTGTAGATCGTCTTTAGTGTCTTAAAATTATTTGGTGAGAGGGCTGGAGAAATGGTTAAGAGCACTGGTTGATCTTCGAGAAGACCTGTCAGTGCCCAGCACCCACATCAGGTGACTCACAATCATACGTAATTCCAGTTCAAGGAATTTGGTGCCTCTGGCCTCTGCTGGCACCAGCATCCACCTGCACACCTCCCCCCTCACAAACCTATAACAGCTGTGCATAACTAAAATAATAAAAATAAATCTTTAAAAATTACTTGGTGAGATAAGCTATTATTCCTTTTTATGACTTGCTTCTCTTGGTCTTTCTTTTAACATATAAACAAGTGAAGTCCAAAAATATTTTACTCATGACATAAAAAAAAGAAGAAGAGGAGGAGGAGGAGGAGGAGGAGGAAGAGGAAGAAGAAGAAGAAGAAAAGAAGAAGAAGAAGAAGAAGAAGAAGAAGAAGAAGAAGAAGAAGAAGAAGAAGAAGAAGAAGAAAAAGAAGTTTTCATTGGATTATATCAGATTTTAAGTTAATTGGGAAGATTGGAATGCTCTTTTACCAACTCTTATCCAAGTTGGACATGGTGACACATTCTTTAATCCCAACACTCAGGAGACAGAGACAAGCAGATCTCTATGAGTTCAGGGCCAGCCTGGTCTATACAGCAAGTTGCAGGCCAGCTGAGGCTACATAGTGAGACTCTGTCACAAACAAAATTTTATCCAAAAGCATTGCAGTTCTTTCCGTTTGTACAAAAATGCTTCAAGGTTTTCAATAATATTTCAGAACGTTCTTGTTTAAAATTCTGCAGTTTTTTTTTTAAGGTTTTTAGTTACTTGAGATGGAGCTTCACAACGAAGCCCAGTATGGCCTGGAGCTGAGTACATAGCATAGTCTGTCCTCAGACTCATGGTAATCCTCCTGCCTCAGCCTTCTAAGTTCTGGGACTACAGGTGTGAGCCACCATGCCTGACCAAGATTCTCTAAGTTTTTGAAGGTTTATTTATTTTAATTTTATGGAGATATGTGTTTTTCTTA